AGCAAAAAATCAATTGTTTTTACCGGTGTGCTTTTGCGGCTTACCAACCCAAAGCCATGGAAAGACACTACCGCCAAAATATATATGAGGTAAATAATATGAAAGATAATATAACAATGATTTGAGTCAATGCTCTAAAAAATAAAATAGTGAAAGGAGGAAAAAAGTAATATGACATGAGATTTAAGCAAGGCGGGCACCCCTCAGAATAATTCTAATTCACCAAAATTGACTCTGAGGAATATTGAACGACAGAAATCAGAGAGTCGAAATTATTGACGTTTAACTTTTGACGAACCAATTAAATATAGTAATGGTAATTTTAATACCTTGAATTTTGCTATTTATACTGAGAACAGTAATAATCAAGTAACAGAAGGAAAACCATCAGTTTTTTTTTACTTTATTAGCAGATTAGACCGAGTATTTAATATTCCTATTCGTCGTACTTGAAGAGAAAAAAATAATAATCTAGAAAATTTTTTGTTTCTTGTATTAAGCGACGCCGGAATTGTTCTTCCCCAAATCCGAGAAGAAGAAAAAAAATGAAAAGAACTCGGCTATACTTCGCGAGCAAATGGAGCAAATGCTAATGATTGAACTGTAGAAAATAAAAAACTTGTCGACCAAGAAATCAGCAAAGTTCACCGTGATGCTCGAAATAATGCCCTCCAAAAAGACATTAGTGGTGATACTTGAAATCCTGCTTTAACTGAATTAGAAAAAGCTATGATTAATGGCACCACTAGTTCTAATCAAGTTCAAGAAGCCCAAAAAGAAATTGCTCGTAATCGAAACAAAGATCAAGAAAAAACCAGATTAGAAGAAAAACTCAATCAAACTGAAAGAGATAAAGCCACCGCAGAACGAGAGCGGGATAGTTTAGCGGAAAAAAATAAAACCCTCCAAGCCGAGAACCAACGTCTGCGAGAGAAAAATGAACAATTAGATCAACCTCCTAACTTTGAAGATTTTGGAGAGAAACCTCAATTTGAAACGGAAGCTAAAATACTGCAAACTAATTTGCCTACATTTACTAAATAAACATTATAAGTGATTTTCCCCTCCGTTTTTTGTATTAGCATGATTTTAGGAATGTTTATTCTTAATTTTCTATTCCTATTAGGTTATTTATTTACGCAATATTCGGAACGGAAACCGAAAAGCAAGCAGCGGAAAAGTTTATCAGAAAAGCAAATAAACTAAATCTGCCTAATTAATATTAACAAATTAAAAATAGTTGCGTATAAGCAAACATTCGTTCGTAGTGTTTTTGGTTAAAGAAAGCAAGCATTCTTCAATTTGTTGAGTTAAAATTAGTTTTTTCAACAAACTAGTTAATTTTTGCTGAAATTCTATTTTTTGAGCATTGTCTAAACGGTTATAAAGTTTAATTAGTTCCGCGTAATCATGCTTATTTTGAACTTGGTTTTCCCAGTTTTTTCTGATTTCTAGTTTAGTCATACTAATTTTTTCCTATGTATATTATTTTTTGCCAATCATAGTTCTTTTCTAGGTATTTTTGGAAATATTTAGTTATTTTGGCATGAGGGTCAGCGTGAGCTAAAGATAACTGCATGAGCGATTTCGTGAGCCATTGTTTTCACTAAATCAGGTATTCACTAAATTTGACAAAAGGGCGGTGGCAAAACATTAAAAATACTTAACTTATATAAAAGAGTTATAAATAATTTAATTACATAGAAATTATAGAGATTCAGCAAATGGTAAGAAAGCAAAAAAGATTTGGTAAAGAAAAACCAAGAAAAAAACTATTCTCCTCGCCGGGCTAACTCAGCTTTTAAAAGTTTAGTGGGAATTTGGGTTAAATCATAAAGGTGAGGAAACTCTCTCCGCAGTGCTAAAACCACTCCCAAAGCCCTTTCGACCTTGGTCAGAATTTCCGCACTAACTTTGCCTTTATAACCTCGCAATCGCTCTTTATCAACCGTGCGAATTTGGTCGGTCAAAAATTTGCGGGGCTTACCCTCCGACTGAATAACTACCTCTCACGAATAAAGTTTCGCCATATCCGAAGTGGTAGGAATGACAATAATTAACGGACTATAATAATTTTGCTGATTATTCGAGATAACCACACAACGCCGAGTTTTTTTAATTTCTTTTCCGGTAGTGGGATCCAGAGCCACACGGTAAATGTCTCCCCGGTTAATCTTTTTCACCACCATCTCACTTGTTTCAATCGGTCATTTGGGCAACTTCTCACTCTTGGGCTTCTTGTCAACGCTTCTTATCTTGGGCGGCAGCTTGGTACTCCTGGGCGAGGCTTTGCTCTTGGGATTTTAACTCTTGGGCAATTAGCCGCTCAATGAAGACGCTGATTTTCCCTCGTCCCACTTCACTTTTCAATTGGCGGTAGAGTTGCGGATTTATTCTAATACTTACGACTTGTTTTTCCATAAAATAGTTTTTATAGCAAGATTACAGTAATCTAAATTTTTATGAGAAAAAAACACCTGTTCAAGAGTTATTATTGTGGGGTCTGTAAACAACGAAAACCCTGCGGAAAACTAACTAGTTATACCGAACAGAAAAGTCACTGCTGCCCTTGCTATTATGAGCGGGAAAAAGAAAAAAGCCAAGAATACAACGACTACCAACAGGTTTATCAGCAGAAAGCACGAGAAAAACAAGCGAAAATTCAGCAACTAAAACTTTTGCGGGATTATCAGGGTTGTAAGCATTGCGGCAGTTATGCCGTGGACGCTTATGATTTGTATTGAGAACAATAAGTTAGTTTGTCAACCTTGCTTAATGGAGAAAACAGGTGGAGCGTCAGGAGCATTGAGTTGGTCGGAGCAAAGCAAGTGATATAAGAAACGCTGAGGAATTAACCTTGGTGAGTGATTGGATAATTATCAATGCTTACCGGTCGCGGCAAAATGGCTGAAAGACAAGCAACATTTAAGCAATTGTTCTTGCTTAGAAGAGGAAGCCAAAGAATTATTTGAACTGTTTGCTAACTCTCTAAAAGAAAAGCAAGAAGTAAGTGTGTAAAGTTGGGCGTGGTTGCTAAAATTTAAAAACAACGTTGCTTTTCACGATACCAAGGAAACAAATTTTAGAAGATTTTTTAAAATTAAAAATTAAATCGTTCCATATTCTTTAATATCCCTAAATTCTTAGGTTTTTGAAAATAATGCACAATTTCTTTTTGGGTTTCAACACCTAAAAGTTTGCTAATTGGTTCTAGTTCGTTCTTTTCAACGGCTTGAATAAAACTAACTAAATTAGGATAAAGGCTAGTCAATTTATGAGCTTTCACGCTGCCTAATAAAGGAACCCCCAAAGCCGTTATTAAGCAAAAAAAGGGCTTTTTTTTCGATTGTTCAATGCTGTCGAGAAGATTATTGACCGATTTCCTTTGTAAACCTTCAACTTTTAACAGTTCTTTTTTTTTTTGTTCTAAATAATAAAAATCAGCGGGAGTTTTCAATAAATTAACTTGGTATAATTTGCGGATAATGGCTTCGCTAACTCCCTTGATATCCATCCCTTGTTTAGAAGCAAAAAGAGCCAAAGATTTAATATTTCTTTCTGGACAGTCTTCGTTAAGACAGTATTGGTAAATTTGTTCTTGATTTCATTCAAGCAAAGAGGAACAAGCAGGACAATTAGTGGGTGGGGTCCAGCAATTATTTTGCCCGTCCATTTTAATTACTTGGACTACTTGGGGGATAATGTCGCCAGCTTTTTTGACTACTACTCGGTCACCGATATTCAGGTTTAACTCCCGAATAAAACCATAATTATGTAAAGTGGCTTTGTTAATTTTACTGCCTAATAAAGAGACTTGGGTAATTTGGGCAACGTAGGAAATTCGACCACTGCGGGTAATTTCCACTTGAATGTCTTTAATTTCGCTCAACGCAACAGAAGCGGGAAATTTATAAGCAAAAGCTCAACGAGGAAACCGGTTAGTCTTTCCTAATTTTTCGTAGTGTTCATAATTATTGACTTTCACCACAATCCCGTCAATTTCAAATTCTAAATCGTCACGCTGTTTTTTAATTTCTTGAAAGTACTTTTGAATTTCCTCTAAATTCTGACAAAGGCGATAATAAGGACTAGGTTCAAAGCCCCAACTGGCTAATTTTTCCAAACAATTTAATTGGTTATTGATTTCGCTAATTGAGTCATTATTACAGCCCAAAATTTGGTAAGCAAAAAAGTTTAAATTTCTTTGTTGAGTAGGTATTAAAGTCCGCAAAGTTCCGGCTGCGGCGTTTCGCGGATTAGCTAAAAGAGGCAATTTTCTTTTTTTTAATTCTTTGTTTAGCCGCCGAAATTCTTCTTTTTTCAGGTAAACCTCTCCGCGGATTTCAATCATTTCAACTCCCTCAGTGATTTTTTCGGGCAAATTTTTTGGTAAGTTTTGGATTAAAGGAAGGTTAACACTGACGTCTTCCCCAGTTCGTCCGTCTCCGCGGGTAACTATCCTTCTTAATTTGCCGTTTTGGTAATGTAAACTAGCTGATAAACCATCAATTTTTACTTCACAAAGATAATCTATTTTGTTAAGTCCTGTTTTTTTTTTTACTCTTTCGTCAAATCGCACTAGTTCTTCGTAATTGTCAGTGCTTTCTAGGCTCAGCATTAGAGTTTGGTGGGCAACTGGGTGGAATTTTTTTTTAACTTTGCTCCCGATTTTTTGGGTTGGCGAATTAGGCAAAACCAAGTTATGTTTTTCTTCTAAATCCTTTAATTCTTGAAAAGTTTGGTCGTAAATTTTGTCATCAACTGTTGGCTGATTTAAAACATTGTATTCATAATTTCACTTTTCTAGCAGTTGAATTAGTTTTTGCATTTTTTGGCTAATTTCTTTGGCTGCTATGGTCATATAAAATTTTTAAATAGAGTGAAATAGCGTAAATGCATAAATTAAAAAATTTTGTTGCCGATTTATTTGGCTTGTTTGCTTGAATTATTGCTTCAAATTTAAACTCGGTAATTGGTATTTTGACGAAATAAGAAACATTTAATTAGTAAAAAATTATTTATAGATTTTGACGAAAAGTATCAATCAAATTAATCAAATAACCAATTATCAAGCAGAAGAAAAAATATTTGGTCAAGAAAACTATTCAGCAAAAACTAGAATAGAAAAGCGAAGCAAAAGTAATAAGCCTGATTTGCTGGTCTCTTGTTTACTATGTGATACCAAATTTTCTGTAAAATATGTTCCTCCCAAAAGACATTATTCGCTTAAAAACAATTGAGGTTATTGAACTAAAAAAGAAAGTAATCAGCAGAAATACATCTGTAACTCCTGTTTGCTTAAATTGTATGACGGCAATATTAACAACTGAATAAAGGATGAAGCCCGAGCAGATGTTTTTTATAATTATGTCAAACGAGGACAGTTTTAAAAATCTCAGAAAGCACTTAAGAAAAAATTAATTTCCTATCATATAATTTTGTAAAATCACTCTGATTTCTTGCCTTTATTATATTATGCTTAAAGGGATAGCT